AGTTGAGTTTAAGGTTATTTGTAAACTTTCATGTATAATTTAAGAATAAGAATGACCTTAACCCTTAAAAATATTCTGGCAGGTTTTTCTTAGGTAGACTAACATGTATGGTGCATAATTTGAAGTCAAACTTGAAGAATATATTTTACTAACCAAAATAATGGAATTCCATTTAATTGTTTTTGAACATTCAAACAATATTATTAAAGAAAAATTACGTATAGGTCTTGTGGAATAGATTTATTCACAAACAAGTCCTGCAAGATTCAAAAACCACAGCCAGGTCCTTTAAACCTTGAGTATAATTTGAAATTAAGCTATAAAGACAATAATACTCCTATAAAACATACATTATTTCAATCAAATAATTAATTTACAATTATTTCATTAGTAATTTATAATTTTAATTTTTTACACATATAATTTCACATATCCAATAATTAAATAATCATGTGTTACGTACTAACAAAGTTTAACATTAATTTTTTACAACTACTTCATCAAATAATTTACAACTATAACTTAATATATTCAATAGTTAAACTGATAAGTTTAATTATTAGATATATGAAGTTACAGTTATAAAAGGTTGAAGTTATAGTTGTAAATTACTGATGAAGTAGTTGTAAATTATTTGATTGATATAATATATATATATATATATATGTCCACCCTAAAAATAGAGAGTAACCGGCACGGGTGTGAACCACTCTCACATCCCGTAAGCCTTAGAATGAAAATTTACTCTATTTTTCAAAAGAAAAGAAAAAAAATTAATCAAATTACATGAGAACTAAATAATTCCTTTAAACTCATTATCATAAGAAAGTGTCAACATTTTTGTAAAAATTTCGGCAGAACCTCTCCTATAACTAGGATCTCTCGAAAATTCTATAACAAAATCTTTTTTACAGATAACAATATAATCAAGAGCGTAGCTCCTTCCAGCCAACAACTAATATACAAACCAAAATAAAGTCTATCAACAATTTATGTGGAGCATCTAATCTTTCTTTTAAATCAAAAAGACATATGAACTATATATTTACATTAAAAGAAACAATACCAATCCAAAACTTTCACCCACTGTAGCTATTCTGCCCTTTTAAGGTCGATGGTGGGATCGATGTCTGCTAATAAATCTGAGGCCAAAATAATTTTTTTCAGTAAATAGCATTCCCATGATAAAATTCTTAAAATTTAAATCAACAATTTCTAATAATGGTGTCAGCTAATTAAAAGTAATTCCACCAAAATTTATAAGCATGTAAGTCATAACCATATTTGTAAAATAAGGGTAAATTGAAAACAATTTATGTTATCATGCTTAAAGAAAACAGTTTGCTCACTTATAACTCAGAGTGATACAAATTGCTAGTCAAATCCATGTAAATTTTGAAAATACATATTAATCAACATTTAAAATTTTGAGAACTCAATAGAACAAGTTACAAAGGTGGACACTTAGTCTATGAGGGTAAATAACCAAATACGGCTTATGCCACGAAAACAAACGTGGACACACCAGTCCACGAGGGTAAGTAATCAAATGCAGTTGAAATTACGAAACAAACATGGACATTCAGTTCACGAGGGTAAGTAACCAAACACAGCTCAGGCCATGGAATCAAACGCGGGTACACAGCCCACGAATACCAAATGTGAGAATAAAGCTCATGAAACAAACTAGCTAGTGTTTAACCACAGCGCGCTACGGGTTAACGAAATTGCCATTAGCAGCAGTGTTTTGTTTCGAGTTCTCTTAAAATCACGTTTCAAACATGCAAGAAAAACAATTATTATTGAAATAAATTATCATCTTTACTACCAAACTCGCATGAACTGTTTCAAATCTCAATATTTGTCAAAATCATAAACTTGCACTAATTAAGTATCCAATAAATTTCAAAGTTTAATAATCATACAAGAATGCTTTCATCCATCTTGGACATATATTTTCAAGAATCAATAAATGCACATATCATAACTCATTTATCCTTCATTGATATTTCATAATTTTCAAAATTAATATAATTTATAAGAATAAAATATTTTAAGAAAAAGGCTATTAAAAATAAAAATAAATGAAATGAAATTCTATTCACTTACTCGTCAGAGCTTCAAATTTTTACAGATATTCTTTCTTTTAATTCTAGTCAGGGTCCCTTTCTTCTTCGCACCTTATTAGAATATAAATAAATAAATAAATAAATAAAATTTTTTCTAGGTATTTTACCAAACAACATACATACATAATTGCTTAAGTTAATGTTGATATTTTCCTTCCTAAATTTTCAGTTTCATTGAGACCTTGCAATATCACCAATTCCATCATTTCCAAATGGAATCTCAATCTACAATATCATATTGCTTTCTTGCACAACCACAATATTCATTTAAATAGAAATTCCTCCTCTCTTCTTTTTTTTTTCTCTTCTCTTTGTTTTCTTTATGCATGTACATACAGTTAGATAGGGGATAAATTTTGAAACCCCAATCCTTAACTCACATATATCATATATTATTACCAAGTTAGATGAATTTCTTTGTTCTCTTCTCTTTGTTCTCTTACTCTCACGGCACAGCAGATTAAAAATAAGAGATTTCAAAATTTCTTACCTCCTCAACCCAGACGGCAACAGACAACAAAGGAGAGAGAAGAAGAAAAATGAAGCTTGTAGTAGAACAGGGAAGTAGAAAACTGGACGCTACTCGCAAGAAAACATAGCAAATGAATCAGTAACAATAATCCAAACTTATTATAGCACTACCGCAGCTCTGGCAACTTGGTTTCTCATCCTAGCTGCTACTCGAAGGTGATGACACAGATATAACCAAAGCAAAAAATGAAGAGGAAAAAGGAAGACAGAGAACACGAAAGACAGCCAGAGCAATCAATGTAGCATAAGTCTCCAACTCTCTCCAACGATAATCACCAGTGATAGTAAAAGGGAAGGAAGATCTAAATACTTACACATGCACCTGGATAAAGAAGGGAGAAGAAGCTTGATAATCTGAAATAAATAAAGAAAAAAAGAGTACAAAGATCATGAGTTGACTAACCAACGACAGATAGAGTATAAGCAAGCATACCGGCAACAATAACAGTTGAAACTGAAAAGTAGTAGCAACGATTCAAGGAGAAGAAGGAGAAGGTTTAGCGTGTTCTTTTATAACACCAAGAATAGAGGAGAAAGCAAGTTGCAGCTCAAGCCTGCATGCACACCAGACGACATCATGATAGGGAAGAAGGAAGCCATATACTCACACACTCAACCAACTGGCAATGGTGGATGGAACCTCTGTAGTCACTAACACCAGTGATTGTTGTATACAGAGGAGCAAAATTTATGGACCTAAGATCCCTCTTACTCTCTCCACCGACTCTCTCTCTCTCTCTCTCTCTCTCTGCTCCAGAATCCTCGTCAAAGAACGAAGGAAGAGTTTAAAAAGATCTGATTGTAATAAGGGTAGTTTGGTGATTTTACAAGGCAAATTAGCAAAGGAAAAAAAAAAGAATTCCCATGGGCTCGCTGCAGTTCAAACTTGGGACCAAATGAAAGTAATCCAGCCTAGCTACCACTGCATCAGCTTCCTCTATTGGCATAATTGTCTAAAGATTTATTATAAACACACGTAAACAAATTATCATATATATATATATATATGTATATATATTAATTTATTTTATAAGGGTTATCACAAGATATGTTTAATGGGGGCATTATTATCTTTTTATTCCAATCTCGAATTATACTCAAGTCCCAAAGGACATCCTTGTGATTTTTGAATTTTGCCAAACTTATTTATAAATAAATTAGCTCCATAAGGCCTATATGCAATTTTTCCTATTATTTATGCATTAATGATATCAACAATTAGAATATTGGGGCCGATCTTACCATGATTGCGTACTAATTAGACTGATGTTAGCCAATTAATTAAAGCCATGAAAATTCAAATATTCAAATTTTGAAAATCATTTATAGATGCAGTTCAACATAATGATATAATGCAAGTAAAAAGCACCCCATTTGGCTGCAAATGGTATCATTCATTTCCTATGCAAAATACCACAAATTAGTTTCTTTATGAAAATAATCCAAATCAAAAGATTCATAAATGGATGGCCAATTCATAGATCATGAAACTGTAGCTTGGGTTTTAGATGACTCTTGCTTTTCAATTATTCTTTTCTATTATCACACACACACACACAGAGTATGATACATGTCGGAGTGATGACTTATTCAAAATAAGCCAAAGTGATTCATTTCCTTTAACACGGGAACAGAACGCATTTCAGTGGCGGCATCTTGAAAACACGAATAACTAATAGCAGTGAGATTCCACGTGTTATTGTATAACAGATGGTTTAAAATAAAATAATAGCAATAGCAGAAGCAGCAACAACAATAATTTCCTTTTGAATGGTACATTTTCATTTTATAAAAACTAATGAGTAAACTCAACGTAGCATTGTCGACTATTTCAATTTTCATCGAAAATAAGGAGAATGAAAAAAAAAAACGTTAGAAGACGTATCATTTAAAAAAATTGAATTTAATATATATATATATATATGTTGATATGTTGTTATTTTATGTAACAGGTAGAACAAGTAGTTAATTATATATACTATCTTATTTTTTTAAAAAAAAATTTTATGAAGAAAAAATATGTTCATTTTTTAAATTCAATCACCTGATATCTTAAAAAAACTGAGAGTATTCCTTACAGACTAATTTAAACCCTCGTTATATGAACTATTATTATTAACTGTGACTTCACGGATAAATAACTCAGGGATGTCTGTGATATTTTTATTTAACACGACTTCATATCATAAGAATCAAACCCGAGGCTTTAGAATAAGTTGATATGACTCCCTTGATCAGTCCAACCAAGTGCCAACATATGTCCATTTGATTAGTATAAAAAGAGCACTTGCTTCTAAACCAAACCCACACAATTATTCACCATCAGCTTCTGTGGCTATTATGGAGATTCAAATTCCATATTCCATCCTCTTCACCTTCTTCTGTTTGTTCCTTCTGATATTAAAGCCATCAAGATTCAAGAGATCCAACAAAACCTTACCTCCAGGCCCATGGAAGCTTCCTATCATAGGAAACTTGCACCAAATGGCAGGGCCATCACTGCCTCATCACACCATGAGAGACCTCGCAGACAAGTATGGTCCCTTGATCCACCTTCAACTCGGAGAGACTTCCAACATCATAGTCTCTTCCCCAGAAATGGCCAAAGAGGTTATGAAAACACATGATCAAATATTTGCTAATAGACCCTACTTTCTAGCCACCGACATAGTTGGCTACAAAGCAATTGATGTTGGCTTTGCTCCTTACGGACACTATTGGAGACAGCTTCGAAAGGTTGTCACTCTGGAGCTTTTGTCTCTAAAGAGGGTCCAATCATTCAGAGCTATAAAGGGAAGAGAAGATAGCATCACTCTTGAAGTACATAACTGATCATGAAGGATCTGTCAATCTCAATAAACTGCTTTCCCACTAGCAAATTCCATCGTTGCTCGTGCTTCCATTGGTAAGTCCAAGAACGTAGACGCTGTTGTGGCCTTTATGCAGCGGACAATGGAGCTGGCGACTGGACTCAGTGTTGCGGATCTTTTTCCTTCACTCAAATTCCTTCCTGTGATCACGGGGCTGAAAGCTAAGCTCGAGAAGCTACATCAAGTGGGTGATTCGATATTGCAAGAAGTTCTTACAGAACACAGAGAAAAGAATATGAGAAGAAGCCAAGACGCTAATGAGGCATATCAAGACGATCTGGTCGATGTTCTTCTCAGGATCCAGAAGGAAAACGACCTCGAAATCCACGTATCTGACGATACCATCAAATCTATAATTCAGGTAATAAGTCTTACTGTCTCTTTGAATAATACTTCCAGATAAACATATTGGAGTTTCACTCACAAATATCTGTTCACAAGACATGTTCTTTGGTGCAACTGAAACAACAGCGACAATTTTAGAGTGGGCAATGTCTGAATTGCTCAGGAACCCAGAGACAATGGAAGAGGCTCAAGCAGAGGTAAGGAAGGTGGTTGGAAGCAAAGGACAAATAGAAGAATCATAATTGCACAAATTGAAATACATAGATGCTGTGATCAAAGAAACCTTGAAGCTTCACCCACCTCTTCCATTGCTAGTTCCGAGAGAAAACAGTGAAAGGTGTGAAATCAATGGTTATGAGATACCTTGCAAGTCTAGGGTTATTGTCAATGCTTGGGCTCTTGGAAGAGATCCAAAGTATTGGAAAGAAGCTGACAAGTTTCAACCTCAAAGATTCCTTGATACTTCAAGTGACTACACTTTTAGGGGCATGGATCATGAGTACATTCCATTTGGGTCTGGAAGGAGGATATGTCTTGGAATAGCATTTGGTTATGCAGTTCTTGATTTGGCTATCGCCAAATTGCTTTACCATTTTGATTGGAAGCTTCCGGATGGGATGAAACCTGAGGAATTGGACATGGAGGAAACCTTTGGTAACAATGCCACTAGAAAAAACCATCTTTGTGTGGTTCCCACAGTTTATCATCCCTTAGCTATATAGGTTTATTGTAATACTGCTTGGAAAATAATAAGGGATGTTTGATGTTCAAAATAAAATAGTGAATCAGCACTCTCTCTCTCTCTCTCACACACACACACACACTTTTGCTTAGATATATAGATAGTAATTGTATGAATAAATAATGCTTCATGTTATATGTTTTTGCAATTTTTTCTTTAATACTCCATGTGGTAATATGTCGGTTTTTTTTTTCATAGCCGCTAATTGAAATTAAATTTTTTTTGCCAGTACTAAATGAAATTAAATAACCCCAAATCAAATTATGATTCATAAATAAATTAAAGCAAAAATGATAATAGAATCCCTCTGAATTATATAAATGATAATTTGATTTACTCAAAATGCTATAATTCCACTAAAATCCTTGGAAACTTTTTTGCTATTAATGATTTATATAAATGATCAAATTACCCTTATAGCAATATCAGAAATTTGACATATGAAGCTATGACATGCTGTTGTATTTTTGTGAATATAAGAAGAAAAAGTTGTGATTATTTAAATAAAACTTCTCATCATTTTATTTTCTACAAAGATAATTTTATTATTTATATAAATTTATTAATAGCAGAAAGTCCCTAAAAACTTTACTGAAATTATGGTAAAAGAGATTTTATTATCATTTTTTTAAAATTAAATGAGTAGATCACAACAATTCGGCTTGGGGTTTATTATCCTTTTAATGATATTTTTCTTATGCTATCTTTTTTATATTGCTCATAATAAATCATTAATGACTGATGAGAAATCCCACAACCGACTGCCTCCAGTTTACACGCTACGATGAAGTTTAATTTAGTCACGATCTACAATAATGAGAGAAAAAGACTCTTGACTTCTCATGCTCATCCAAAAAAGAAAAGAAAATTAATCTTTTTGCATTTATGTAAAAATTATGACTAATATTTTAAATTTAAAAAATAATAATAAAATCTCAGTAAAATATATAAATGACAATGTTATTTCTCAAAATCCCATAATTTCTCTAAAATCTCTAGCTAGGCACCTTTCTAACATTTATAATTTTAGATTAAATAATTAAATTATCCCTTGTTTAAATTAAAAAATAAAAGGTTCAAGTGGAAAGTCATGATTTTGTTCAATTCTTACGATTTATAAAATAAAAGTTGTGATTGCTTGAACAAAAGTCATAACTAGTTTTTTTAGAACTTACACTTCATTGATAACGGAAATTTCAAGTGAGAAGTTGTGATTTATTGTTCAATTCATGCGATTCATAAAATAAAAGTTGTGATTGGTTATTTTTAAAACTTAGAATTCAATAATAAAAGAAATTTTATATGAAAAGTTGTGATTTATTGTTTAATTTTTACTATTTATAGAATCAAAGTTGTGATTATTTAAATAAAAGTTGTGATTGAAACTAGTTATCTTTAGTACTTGTTTATCAATTGTAAAAGAAATATCATATAGGAAGTTATGATTTCTTATTCAATTTTTGTAATTCATAGAACAAAAGTTGCAATTACTCAAAAAAAATTTATAATTGAGAAAATGGAGCCAAACCCATTATTTTTATCTTACACAAGAGGCAATTTAGTCATTTAACCTAAAACATTATATGACATTTTGAGGGACTTAATTATTATTTATATATTTTGATAGAATTTTATCATCATTATCCCTTTAAATTACTAAACCCTATTGATATTTATAAGGATTATAAAAATTAAAATTAAAATTTAAAATATTTTTAATTTTTATAATTTTAATTTTTAAAATGAGGTTATTGGATACCACAGACTCTAAACTATTGCACAAGCAACATCTGTGATCTTAAATTCCTAAAATATGTAAAAACTCCTTGAACTTTAAAATCCAAAGCAAATTACTACCTATTATTTATGTATAGAATGTTGATTATCATATAAAGCAAAAGTTACCAAGCTGGCATGCCACATATGAAGGGGATGTGTTAGGCTGAAGGGTATGTTGGTAATTGTCCCCTAAATTTGGCAGTAAAATAATGCAATTTTCCCTCAATTTCTTGTGAATCCCAAACGACTAAGGAGCATGATCAATTTCTTCCGAATCCCAAACGACTAAGGAACTCGATTTTCAGAGGAACCCATGACCAAACCCACACCTAAAAGCCCTCCAACCACCACAATGGTCACCCACATCTCGTCTGTTCATTGTCCCTACTTGAACGCTTTATTTCCCTCCATTTCTATAAACATAATGCGACGTTTTCAGAAATCGAGTATCCTCAACCAGTTCATAACTAAATTATAACTAAGTCAAAATTATAAGAATCAAATAATTATTTTTTTAAAAAAATATACTTAACTAGAATTAAGGAATGACAGTTGACACATTAAATATTCCCTCCGAATGGTAATATAAGTTGTTTTAATTTCTAAAAATTTTGCTTAGTCCAAAATATAAGACATGAGTAAACTTATATATTTTTTTCAATTATACCCTTACTTTATTGAGTTATTAATTAGGGTATTTTAGATAAGTTAAATGTCATATTTATTACACATAAGGCATGATTGAAAAGGCATGAAATTTTTTGAAAATCAAGATTTTATCTAACATTTTTTATAAAGGTAAATTAATTAACAATGACTTACTCCTTCCAATTATTTTTATAAGTCGCTTCTAATTAACTCACCAAAACTAAGGTCAGCTAGCTAGAATAATAAAATTGTCTTAAAAATAATTCACTTTCCAATTTTACCCTTAAATATAAAAGAGTAATTTGATGCTCCCTCCAAACCACACCGTTGAACATTTTCAAGAAGTTTTGCTTAGTTCAAAATACAGGACATTGGATAAATTTTATAATTATTTTTTAACTATACCCTACTTTATTTATTATTCTTTTTTGAAAAAAAATAATTTATTGAAATCTTAATTATCATTATCAAAGTATTTATATAGGGTATTTAATGAGGGTGAACTTAGAGAGATGTAGTTTTTTTTTTAGGAAATTAAGGTTTTGACCAATTTTTTTTAGAACCATGAATTAGTTATCAATATATTTTGGTCAGAAGGCAATAGGTGGGCAGAGTTCTCTTGGAAATTGTAATATTTCACTTCTTAAAATTTGTTGGAATGTATTTTTGGAATTGTGCATCAAATGTTATGAAAAATAAGGAAAAGTGACTTACATAAAAGACTAAGAAAACCTTCTAAAATATGATTTATAAAAAGGATCAAAGGGAGTATGTCTTAAAATGAATTTTTTTTTCAACTTTACCTTGATTAAAAATAGGTAGATCAGAGAGAATACACAATATATGATATAAGCCATAAAATTAAATTTACAATAGGGGGTAAAATTAGAAAATAGTAATTAATAACACTCAATGTGCCTTATATTAAGGATGAAAGAATCCTTTTAGAAAATGCTTTATTAGAGAGACCGGAGGGAGTATATATCATAATTTTCAAAGTTTTAAAACAACTCCTTGAATCTTCTACTCTTAAAAAGATGCTCTCTCTATGCCAATTTTTGGAGAAAATTTGATATCTTAAAATATAAGATACTTTGACAACAAACTATCACTATTGAAATGATTTTGCAGTGACAAACTATCGCCACTAAATAGTAGTTTTAGCAATGACAAAACAATGTTGCCATTGAAACTAATCTATGGCAACTTTGTGTCATCGCTATAGCGTTAACATTTAATAGTGACCATATATTGTCACCACGAAAAGACAAACTTTCAGTAGCATCTTTTCTTGTCATTGTAAAAAGACAGACATTTGATAGCAACTTTTCTTGTCACTATTGAAACTAATCTATTGTGACTTTGTGTTGTCAATATAGCTTTGACATTTAGCAACAACTACAAGGTTGCCACTAATTGTTTGACATTCAGTGGCAACTATATATTATCATTGCAAAAAGATAGATGTTTAGTGGCAACTTTCCATGTTGCCATGGAAAGACAGACTTTCTATGATGACTTTTTCTTGTCATTCTAGAATGTCACATTTTCAGCATCGACACAATTTGTTGCTATAGAATTTGTAACTTTTAGTAGCAACATTTTTAGTTGCCGCTGAAAGTTATCACTAAAAGTTAGTTTTTTTATAGTATAACACATGACACCTCACATGAAATATTTTTCTAATCACTAATTGGATTGGCTCACTAATGAAGTACTCCCTCTCCATTTCAAATAATAAGACACTTTTGGAGGAGGCTTGGCATATCAAAATAAGATATTTTGATAATATTAAGATTTCATTAAATAGGCCTATTCCAATATTTCTCTTTTTCTTTGTGTTTAATTTATGTCCATATCTCTTTTTTGATATATTAAATGAAGGGTGT